GTCGCCCAAAAGGTACATGGAAGAGGCAACTGCCTGAAGACTCTAGTATGTAGAAAGTAGCACTGGAAGCTAGGACCTTGGGTGGCAAAGTTGCACTGGAAGTGGGCTGTACTGGTAATGTGAGTGGCACAGGGCGCGGGACTGGTAGCAGGTTGTGCTGAAAGCTGATAGTAATGGTAATAACTCGTGGCAGGCTGGTACTGGCGGTGGAACCATACTGGTAGCAGGCTTGCTGGTACTGGTATTAGAACCATACTGGTAGCAGGTTGACGTGTACTGGCAGCAGATGTAATAGTAGCAGGCAGACTGGTAACAGAACCGTACTGGTTGCAGGCAGACTTGTACTGGCAGCAGAACCGTAATGGTAGCAGGCAGACTGGTACTGGCAGCAGAACCGTAATGGTAGCAGGCAGACTGGTACTGGTAACAGAACCGTAATGGTAGCAGGCAGACTGGTACTGGTAACAGAACCGTAATGGTAGCAGGCAGACTGGTAACAGAACCGTAATGGTAGCAGGCAGACTTGTACTGGCAGCAGAACCGTAATGGTAGCAGGCAGACTGGTACTGGTAACAAAACCGTAATGGTAGCAGGCAGACTGGCAGACTGGTACTGGTAACAGAACCGTAATGGTAGCAGGCACTATAGCAAACAAAATGACTGCCACCCCCAATTACGCTGTTGTATGCGGCCGGCGTCCCTTGTTTTGTTGCGGCCTGTGCTGTTCGCGCGCGGACACTAAGAGGCTTACAGCCAGTTATGTGTCATGTGTAATCTCCTGTCCACAAACAAACAACCTGCGTCCCTGCCGCCATCTGGACGGCCGGATGTGAGCGGCGACTCAACCTTCCAATTTGCCTTTTTAATAAACAGGAAAGTTACTTTATAACTGTTTTAATTAAAAACATAAAGTGCAGCTTTCCTCTCGCTTCCTGTTGTGCCTCTGGGACAGGAAGTAAAGGAAAATCTCTTTCCACCAGCCCTTTAACTGTAGCTCCATATAAACCTGGGGCTGGGGGTAAGCACTGTAAGAGCCTGTGCATTGCACCTTCCACATACCGATGGTGGGTGCAATGCTCTGCTGCCTTCGATGCAGGGTAGTAGTAAATGCCCATTGGTCATAAGATCGGCGTTGCTGCGTTTACCACGTTTTTTGGGGGGGGAAAAGGTGGACTGAGCCTTTAACTTCCCCGTTTTCGCTCCCTTCGCTAACCCGCAGCCTTGTTTGGCTGCCGGGAGCAAAGAGAAACACCCGGCTATGGAGACATGTGACTCTGCGCCGTTCTGCCCACATGACCGTACTGGGTTTTTTTTTTTACAATCGGCCCCTCGGGCACCCGGCTGTATCACATGGAGGAGGGGAGATGGTCCTCCGCTCTGTGGTAGATTTCACACGGCTTCACTCTCCGCGAGTGACGGAAGGGAAGGTGAGTATATGCAGCTGGAGAAGAAGGGGCAGTTATGTGAACCTGTTGCTTTACCCCAGCTTAGGCAAATAAGAGGTTCACTTCGCATGTCATAGCCCTCTCTGCTTCTGGGAGTGTCTAATTACTGTCTGTGCTGTCCCATCTCCTCTACCGTCTTTCCTCCAATCTCTACTTTTACTGTGTATGTAGCTGCCAGGGCAAGAAGCCTAGGGGAATACTAAAGAGTGTCGCTCTGAGTCTGCTGGGGCGGATGACATCTCATCCAAGATGGCGGCACCCAGAAGCAGTCTTCGAGCTTTTGGCTGTCTACACAAGGGAGGCTTTTATAGGAAAACGACATGCTAAATGTCCTTAAATCTAATGCCGTGCCTTGTGGTGGGCAGCGTTGGCCAAAATACTGTGCAGCACAATATTTTGAGACTGGGACAGAGCATTGTCACCTTTATAACAGGAAGTGCCTGAATCACAGGGGATTAGTATATCTAGGGATGCACCAAAACCGGTTTTCCAGTATCGAGTACGAATACCGATACTTATTTTTTTCTCTGTACTTATGGATACCAGAAGTCCCATTAATGGCGGCGTGTAATGACTCGCCGCCTGACTTCCTGATTAGCCGGGAAGCTGGCTCCATGCTCCTTTGTCGCCATGTGACAAGGAAGCATGGAGCCGGCTTCCCGGCCAATCAGGAACCCGGGGGACGAGTCATTACCCGTCCCCCCCTGGCTTCCTAATTGGCCAGGAAGGCGGCTCCATGCATCTTGGTGATGGCGAAGCAGGGAGCTGGCTACCCAGCCTGTAATGACTAGTCGCCCGGCTTCCTAAAACCGGAAGTTCCGGTATCCAAAAAGGATTGAGATTACGGGTATTGGTATCGGTGCATCCCTATTTAAAATGAAAGCTGCACATTCACAAAGATTAAAAATGACTTGAAATGACAGTAACGAGTTAGAAATTGGATCAAATTTGAGAGAAATGGGGTTTAAGATGCAATTCTTTTTTGTTTTTTAGGTCTCACACAGCTTGAAGCCGCCTGGAAAGTTTTCATTTTCTCCAGACTTGCGCACGTAGACCTAATGGAGCCATCATGAGCACTCTGACCTCCCCGCTCCAGCGCGCCCGGCAGAACTGACTTCCCTTATGGCTATGTATGATGAGGACATTCTGAACAACGCTTTCTACCTGGCCGTCCACAAGCAGAGGCCCGACCTCATCGACAAGGTTGCAGAAGTTCACGGCATTGTAAGTGTGTGTGCCATTTGCGTCCTGCATCCCCCCCCGCAGCGGCACGCTCCCGT